CAACTCTTCAACTTCATTTTGGGCTTTTATAACCTCAGACTTACGAGCGCTTAATCCATCCTTAAGATGTTGCTGCTCCTCCACAATTTCATTCACTTTGTTTCGAAGCTTTTCCTCATCCTGCATAGAAACATGTACATTTTTAACTGTTCACCAAAAATCTTGATAGGGAACCTTTACTATACAGAAAGAAAGAGTTCATGTTTAAAGCTGTTACGTTGCAGTCAGATGTGCTTACAGCACCGAGTTGGAAAGGCACCAGGAAAACAGCCTGTCTCTTACACAGGAAGAAGGATCCCATCTGCTGTACACCTATAACAGATTTAGCAACACCTAAGGTAACTTGAAACCCTTTAAAAAGTATTGTTCATTAAAGATAAATTGTGAGGTAATCCCCAGAGAAGGAAGAATCTGCTGGAGGTTCTCTAGACCAGACCATTGCTAGCAATGAGGTGCTGGAACACAGTAAGCCTAACGAGACATGGATGAAGACGTGGTCCTTCAGAGACTGATGTTCTGGCAGCTTCATCAACCTGACCCGTGGTGCAGCATCAGGACAAGGCACCTTCAGGACACACTGATCCTTCGCCAGGAAAAAAATACCTGAAGTTGCTCAAAGTCTTATTTTCAAAGAATGATGCACACAGGCATGAAGGCAGGCATCTTCTGGTGCATGAGTGAGTAAAGGGTTTTTCCTCAGCATTAGAAATACATGTCTTCTAATGTTAAAAATACAGATTTCAAATCATGCCTGTGGGACTTTTTGCCCACTGTGGGGCAGTTTTACATTTTGCTGTTGTTTTATATCCAGAGCAGTATTACACATCTTTTCTCCTTCACTTTCCAGTGCACCACAAGCACAGTTTATTTAACATGTAACATGAACACGGCAGAAATTACTTACAAATAAAGAACACTATGAAGGAGGAATCTGTATTACTTCCACTAAAAATCTAAATTAGTTTTTACACAATTATTTTAAGCCTATTACTGGCTGTGAAGCACCTTAAAGATGCACAGCACCAGAGCTGTTCACTGTTACTCATAAAATCTTCTAAAGCATCTCAGCCACAGGAGATGTTGTTTCTGCACTCATATGCTGCATTTCCATATCAGCAAGCCAAACACAATACAGCAGTGCATATACAGTAATCCCCAAGGTAATTTTTAGTAAGCTTATTTTTAATAAGTACCCTAATATTATTCCAAGCTTGAAATGACAATATGCAACTGCATGTTTTTTTTTAAATTCACAAAGTCAACACTGATTAAGCCCTAGAAGAATTACTCAACAGAATCAACTAAGTTTGTTCCAAACTGTCATTTGGTGCATTCTTTCCTCTCACCCTACAGACGTGTGGATGGATCACAGTTACCTTCTGCAGCCCAGTGATCTCAGCTTCTTCCTTACGAACCGTCTCCCTCAACTTGCTGACGGCGTTTGTTAATTTCTGGAGATGCTCACGATTATATTCCAGCTGAATGTTTAATCGTGTCTTCTGATTTTCAAACTCCAGCCTAGTCAAAGGGCAGCATTTCAAAATAACACTTACAAAGGAGGGCAGTAACTGTAGTTTTACGTTCTTAAAAGATGCATTTTCACTTTGACTCTTTAGAGAGCATTTTTGTATCTTCTACTTGAACACAAAAATTTGCATACAGTTGGATCATGGACACCACCACACCACATCCTGCAGACACACTGGGAGTTACAGAAATACAGGGATAATAGTTCAAAAAATACAATGTAAAAGTACACTATGGCCAAACTCTCTACGGAAGGAACACCAGAAGTTCAAGCATCTCAGTAGGAATGATCCACCTGCCCATGAAGCAGATAGGAGTTGGGCAAGAGCCAATGCTGGTGCTGTGTGTGGACCCAGTGCTCCCTGCTCAGCCTCCTGCTCAGCGGGCACGGATGGTTATTGAACTATTAGAGCCAACCTGGCTCCATTGGGACAGGGTACTTAAGAAGCTTGAGACCAGAGCTTTTTAAGCCATATTTCAGCCTTGCTTATCACCTCTTAATTGAGAGACCTGTATTTGTTTGTAGGAGTCCAAGGGCAGAAACCTCTTCACAGGCTGCTGTGAGAAAGGACTGCAGTCAAACCAAGCAGCTGTGCACAGAAAGGTCTCCTCTCTGTTACTGTCTGATCTGAGCCTCGAGCTCCCCACACCATTTACTGCTGCTCCTGCATCTGTTGTTCAGGCCAAAGGGCTGGGACAAGGCCAGCTCCAGGCTCTTCAGACCTGGGGAAGGTGGCACCACACACAGGTTGATGGGACCACTGATGGTGAGTCAGGGCACAAGCAAGGCCAGGGCTGGACGCGCAGCGTAAGGCCATGCCAAAAGCTCCTCTTTGCATTGTTCCCTTTCCCACTCCTTGCACTTCAGTTCTTGCAAACATCAATAAATCATCAAATCCCATCAGCCAGCAGCTGCTTTAACTGCACCTGACTGCACCGCACCACCACCTCACTGCAGCCCTGCCAAAAACACACATCTGGGCCAGCTTCAGAAAACTGGTCAGAGTCTCTTGGCCGCTGAAGAAATAGGGGAAAAAACCCCACAGGCCATGACACCAGTCACACAGAAAAGGCCTCTTTGCTATAAATAACGTCAGGAAACACACAAACTCTCATCTGCCTGCAAATGCCTGTGGCACAAGGAGACAGTTCACTTTGACGTTCTCCTTCTTTATGATGTGAGTTTGTGTCCCTGGGACGTGGGCCTGGCTGAGGGGAACACCGGCTGCGGCTGCCCAGGAGAAAATTGAGACACTGCCTTCCAGAACAGGATGGTCCTGCACCAAATTGCTGCATCTTACACTCAGCTTGCTTTTAAGATTTTTGATACGTGAGGAAGCCTCCGTGTGTCATCCTTGAGTTGTGATAGCGCCAGTCGGATATTTATTCTGTCACATTTCTTAGTCCCTCTTTAGGGGAAGGAATAGAAGAATCACAGAACCACAGAATCTTCTAGGTTGGAAGGGACCTTAAAGATCATCTTGTCCAACCGTCAACCTCACTGACAAAAATAGACACCCACACAACAAACAAAAAGCATCATCACTAAACCATACCTCCCAGCACTACATCAACCCGTCTTTTGAACACCTCCAGGGATGGGGCCTCAACCCCCTCCCTGGGCAGCCCATTCCAATGCCTGAGAACCCTTTCAGGGAAAAAATTTTTCTTAATATCCAGCCTGAACCTCCCCTGGTGCAACTTGAGGCCATTTCCTCTTGTCCTGTCGCCTGTGACTTGGGAGAAGAGACCGACCCCCATCTCTCTACACCCTCCTTTCAGGGAGTTGGAGAGAGCAAGAAGGTCTCCCCTCAGCCTCCTCTTCTCCAGGCTGAACACCCCCAGCTCCCTCAGCCTCTCCTCATAAGACTTATTCTCCAGACCCAAGGGTAACCATATACAGAATTTCAAACTTATTTGCTCACACCAAGTGCCATCATTTAAAAGACTTAACTGTGCACTTTGCGCTACATCACAAATAGACTGAAAAAATACATTTACATATATAATAAGGTAGTTCACGTTCCAATGAAACACCTAAAGATTTATACCAATCCAATTTAAAGACCTACAAACATATCCAATACCACTTATTGCCATAAGAATCTTTTATCCTGTCATGGTTTTGACCGAATACATACATCATCATGGACTTTTTTCTAAGGTGCATGTAAATTCCATCAATACCACTTTCACTCTTCACCCCTTTCCCCATTGGTTTATGTTCATCTGTAGATCCAATCTTCTTTTTTTTGCTATGTGAATCTTACTTACAACAAGACTAAAAGCAAATACAATTATATGAGTGAAATCTTATATTCGCTGAGCAATATATTGGAAGCTCGTTCTTTCCTCGTTTCCTTCTTTGAGGAAAGCTGAGCAAACAGACCTATTTGAAAAGAGTCCCCTTTCAAGGAATGCAAACAGATCTGTTTCAACAGTCCCCTTTCAAGGAATGCTTCTTAGATACTATTAGAAGGATTTTGAGATGTTTCAATCTCAAGTACCATGCATTCTTCATTATTTTCACAAAGATGAGAATAACTCAGCAGAGTTTACCTCAGCTCTGTTTCTTTAAACATCTTTCCTACTTAGCTTGGTGTAATCAACTTCAACCTGTTTCACCAGAATTCAAAGTTGTCACTTACCCAGATACAAAGAACACCAGCAGACTCCCTGCCAGTACGACGAGGATGCTTTTCCTGCAAGTTCACATCCCAGATTCTGGCAAGAAACACATACTCACTTCAAGATCTATTCTCATAAATGGCCTCTCCATTTTTATTAAGGGTTCACAATCTTAAAGGTCTTGGACATTTAGCTGAATCTCTCATCTCTTTTCAGAGGAAAGAAGATTCTTCTGTTTTAGATCATGAAGTCTTCTAACCTTTTTTCCAGTCCTCTGTATGCCATCTCTTTCCCTTCTGGATTTCATTTCCTGGTTATCTCCATCATCCATTTCTCTTGTGCGTTTAGTTTCTTACGTTGCTTCTTCATATTTTCTTCCCATGTGGTTCACTTGCCCATTTTTCAAATATCATTGACTGGCTGATCATAAAGACAGGAAGCAAAGAGTTTCCCTGAATCACCCTGCACAAGCTGACATTTTCCTCCTTGATTTTGTTTGGTGCCTGCCTCCTTTCCCCCCACCTCCCTCCATCGCATCTCTAAACTCTCCCTACGCTCTTCTTTAGAGTCACACTACCCTGAATTTTTTTTTATTTCTAATAAATTATTATTTCTAATGAGTGATGGTGTACGTATGAATACTTTTCCCCACTTAGAGTAACACACGTTCCATTTCTGTTTCATGCCTGGATGCTAAAATCACCTCGGAAAATGATTTCTAAAGCCATGGATAATATAAATATTACAGTTAAGCCTGAGACACAGGAGTCAAACAACTCCAATCAACTAGTACTTTTTAGAAAAACAATCAAGTTTTAAAATTATTACAATGTTTTTCTCTTCTTAGAGCAGATATGGCCTAGAAGACCATCCTTTACTTTGAGTGCACTCTTTGAACAGCGTAGGGAACAGATAAAAATAATAACAGATGGGATTACTCAATTAAAAATTTTAATATGTCTACATATTTCTTGTATATTTCAGGCTGATTGTCCAGAATGTCATCGGCTGGTTGTATTAAACTGTGCGTAATACTGGCTTGTTGGAAAATTCGAATATTCTTCTTCTTTGAGATAATTGTTCCTAGAAATAAATTAAAAAAATGCAGTTAGTAAACATTTTCCTGTTATAATATAGAAGTCACCTAAGAAACCTGAAGAAGATGTAATGCATAAACATTCATAAATGCTCAGGAAATTCAAAATTATTAGATATGGAGTTTCATCTCACTAGGTATTTTTTTTCTGTATGCCATGTCTCAATATAGCAAACTTTTTTTTCATCCTAAAATAACCTTTCAAAAATGTCATAGTGAAAAACTAAAATCAACAAAACTCTGAATTTTTGCTTTCATAATAGGAAAGCATCAGGTACTGGAAACTCTTTTGCAATATGTATGTATGTATGTATGCAAGGTGGGAAAAAAAAAAAAAAAGAAAAAAAAAAAGAGAGACTGGAAGAATAGAACACCAAATCACTTAGTTTGGTTATTTTTTTTTTCCCCCTTCATATGTTATCTTTGTCCTTTCCCATGAGACCAGACACAAGACCTGTCGTCCAAGACGTGTCTGGTGGTTTGCTGAAGAATCATCTTGTTTTGTCATGCATCATGGAAAAGCTCCACTTGTGGCATTAACTTAACCCTGAGTTATCGGAAACTGGCAGTTTTACTGATACCCATCTTTTTTTGTTTCAGAAAACTAAGGTATATTAAAGAAACACATACTGTTTTACGCCTGATAATATAATCTGCTGCACAGTTAATGATATTTATTCTCTATTTTGCTATCTATATAAGCTATCTGCTATCAGTGGAAAACTTTTAAGAATTTCAGCCACTAATTCATATATGTAAGCCAGTTAACAATCATAACCTACGCTTTGAAGACTGATTAAACAGTAGTGAAAAAACACACGTAAGCTGAATTGTTGATTTTTTTAAAAAGTATAAACTTGCAACAAGTGTATTAAAAAAAAAGTAATAAACAATACAAGTAAAAAAAGCTCTTTGGAAGCAACCTATTGCGTTAGAGATTTTTAATTGAAAAGAAGAAAACTCTTTTGGCACTTACTTTAATTTCTGCTCCAGAGATAGCTCTGCATTTACTCTATCTAAGGCTTGGCGCCGTTCCCGGTTCTGCCGTTGTTGATGCCGCTCTAAAACCAACTGTGCTCTCGCAGCCTGTACTCTCTGCCTGTCCCATTCAGCATCCCTTTGGCTTTCTTCCTCTTTTAGTCTCTGCAGGAGCAAAAAATACTTCATTTTCTCCTTGCTCAAGGATGAAAGGATCTGTATAAAGTCTGGTAAATTCATCCTAACCAACTGCTTGCCTTTACTGAACACTAGGGGTAGCATTTGAAACAGGGAGAAAAAATAAGCACTTCCAAGCCAGGCAGGAGCCCGTGCATTAGGTAGAAGGAAGATCCTGCAGCTGAAAAAGCTATCCCCTTCCAGGTGGCACGAGAGGCTCCTAACTCTGCACAAGGTAAGAAAATTACTATCTGCTGCCTGGCAGAAGTTAAATCAATAGCTTACTATTTCTCTCTGCCATATTAGCTCTCTGAAAACCCAGAGCAGCTAAACAGATTTTTTAAAACTTTTCTTTTTTTTTTAAAGTTCTTGTTAGCAGGAGTTGGAACTTGTTGAGGTTGGAAGTTAGTAGTCATCATTATGACTTAAAAAATAGTTGAGTGTAGTAATTGAGCCACCAACACCTGATGAGTAAACCCAAACTGTTTTTCCCTCTGCCCTGTTATATTACCACTTCCTCACTTCTTGTCTGATGTCACATTTAACCGATTCAAGAAACCAGGCCTGAAAAAACCTAACTTTTCTTGGTGAGGCTCATTTTCTGCCAACTTAACTACTTTATGTGTTCACTTCAGGTTCATAGGAGAGCCAGGAAAATGACAATTCTATCTTCAGCTTTTAATAACAGCGGTAGGTAAGGGATAATGTAGCATAAAGTATTGGACGGATTAAAAAATAAAACTGAGCAGCTATTTGTTGGCTGTCATGAATCCAGCCTCTGCACTGAATCACAGAATCACAGAATCTTCTAGGTTGGAAGGGACCTTAATGATCATCTTGTCCAACCATCAACCTAACTGACAAAAATAGACACCTGCACAACAAACAAGAAGCATCACCATCACTAAACCAGACCTCCCAGCACTACATCAACCCGTCTTTTGAACACCTCCAGGGATGGTGCCTCAACCACCTCCCTGGGCAGCCCATTCCAATGCTGGATAACCCATCCCTGAAGAAATTTTTCCAAATATCCAATCTAAACCTCCCCTGGCACAACTTGACACCATTTCCCCTTGTCCTGTCACCTGAGACTTGGGAGATGAGACCGACCCCCACCTCTCTACACCCCCCTTCAGGTAGTTATAGAGTTATAAGGTCTCCCCTCAGCCTCCTCTTCTCCAGACTGAACACCCCCAGCTCCCTCAGCCTCTCCTCATAAGACTTGTTCTCCAGACCCCTCACCAGCTCCGTTGCCCTTCTCTGGACCCGCTCCAGCACCTCAATGTCTTTCTTGTGGTGAGGGGCCCAAAACTGGACACAGTACTCAAGGTGGGGCCTCACCAGTGCCCAGTACAGGGGGACAATCACCTCTCGGGCCCTACTCGCCACACTGTTCCTGATCCAGGCCAGGATGCTGGTGGCCTTCTTGGCCACCTGGGCACACTGCTGGCTCATGTTCAGCCCACAGGCCACCAACACCCCCGAGGTAAGTAGCTTCCCAGTTCACAATACCTGGCCTGTACACTCACGACTGCATCGGAAGGGTAGATTTCTTCATTTGACTGCCTGCTTCCATTCACCCTCAGAGCAGCAATTATTATCAACGTGTAGTTTTTCTATTGCAGTTTCATCCCAGAGCACGGCTCATAGTTGCGTGGGATGGCAGAAAGGAAATTCCGCTGTATTCATGAACTCTTTAAGACTATGAAATACGCATGAGCAGAATCCCTGGACCTGCTCTATTTGTCTTAACTACTCCTGCCTGCCTTGTTCTCACCCTCAGCTCCCGGTTTTTCTTCCCCTGTGGAAAAGCCCACTCCTGCTCATCCCTCGCAGGGACAGCTCATGCAGTCTCAAGTCCTGAACTGCACCGTGAAGCCTGGCTCTCGGGCAATGCAAGACCTTGCTCCCCAGCTGGGCCTTCCCCTTGGCTCCACAGCAAATCTTCCTCTCAGCCCAATTCATAGAATCATAGCATCATAGAATCACCCAGGCTGGAAGGGACCCCCAAAGGCCATCTAGTCCAACCTCCCCGCAGTCAGCAGGGACACCCCCAACTAGACCAGGTTGCCCAGGGCCTCGTCGAGCCTCTCCTTGAATATCTCCAGGGATGGGGCCTCAACCACCTCCCTGGGCAACCTGTTCCAGTGCTCCACCACCCTCACAGTGAAGAACCCTCTCCTCATCTCCAGTCTAAATCTGCTCCCCTCCAGCTTGAAGCCATTGCCCCTCGTCCTGTCACTGCAGGCCTTTCTAAACAGGCTCTCCCCAGCCTTCCTGTAGGCTCCCTTCAGGTACTGGAAGGCTGCTATTAGGTCTCCCCGGAGCCTCCTCTTCTCCAGGCTGAACAACCCCAGCTCCCTCAGCCTGTCCTCGGAGCAGAGGTGCTCCATCCCCCTGATCATCCCCGTGGCCCTCCTCTGGACCCGCTCCATCAGGTCCATGTCCTTCTTATATTGAGGGCTCCAGACCTGCACACAATACTCCAGGTGAGGTCTCACCAGAGCAGAGCAAAGTGGCAGAATCACCAGGGCTCTGGACCACTCCTGCTGCTCCATGACACTTCCCAGCTGCTTCCATGTCGCACAGACACTGTGTTCAGTTTGATTAATTCAAGTTCGGGTAAAATTCAGGTTAATAGAAAACAGTCTCTTAATGGGACATGCAGGGCAAACCATATTTTCTTCTACAAACTTTGTCTATAATGATATTAAAACCAGGAATACAGAATATGCATATAAGCTGAAATACCAGTTTCTCCAGAACTTGTTGCTGTTGAGAGTGACGGATTGCCATCAGCTGATCCTGACTCATTCCCTTCCACCGATCTGGGATGACACGATGGCTACCAAAGGAACTGATAGCTTGGTCGGGGTTTTCGGACAGGAAATCTCCTTGAAGAAGGCTGGAAATTTCAGCCATGTCATCCTTCATCTTTTGATACTTTTCTAACTTCTTTTTCTCAGCTACTTCAGCAGCCTAAATTCAGTGAAAGGAAAGAACTGATAGTTTTTCCAAGATAAAATATTAACTAAGGGACGCAAAAAATTTAGCACATCATAAGAGATTTCTTTCCAACTTGCACACAGTTTTGCATGACACATGAATACTACGATCACAGTCATATTGGCTAAGATAGAAAACCTAATAGTATATGGTTCTTTAATGTTGTCATCTCACATACAGCAAGTAGTTTGGAAAAAAATAATTTTGTTTTATAAGAAAAGCCAGAATTAAATAAAATATAATTTTACATTTATCCACAAGCAAATACCAGTGATATTTGGAGGCCAGGCACAATATTGAAGAAATTTATGATAAAAAATTTACAACCTTGAATCACTAGCCTTGGTATATATTGCATATTAAATCTTTGTGGAGAGCATAGTTAAGCACTCAAACAAACGGACAGGAGATGCCTATGTTAAGTCTGGAGATGCAGCCTTGAATTTGTTCCCTTTGCCTAGACAAAATGCAAACTTGAATTGTATTATATGAATATATCTGTAGTATTAGAAATCATAATTTGCATTTCCTATGGGAATCATTGTTCCTAATGTCCCCTAGAAGGTCACGATCTCCTATTCAGAGAAAATTTTCTTCTTGCAAAACTCCCGAAAGCAAAGATGATGATTTTATTTTAAAAGTTATTACATTCCAAAGAAGAATTAGATTACAGAAACTAATTTGGAGTAAAACAATAACGTCAGAGAAAATTTTCTTCTTGCAAAACTCCTGAAAGCAAAGATGATGATTTTATTTTATTACATTCCAAAGAAGAATTAGATGACAGAAACTAATTTGGAGTAAAACAATAATGCTAGGCATCATCCAGTTCTAATCCTGTCTCATTCTTCTGTAACGTGTAAACTGAACCACCTGGAACAATGAACAGTGCCAGGTTCCATCTGGCCAGAAGACAGGTCCTCTCCTCCTCGCTAGGGCACAAAGCACACAGGGTGCCAGACCTGGCCCTTGCACGTGTAGCTTTACACACTTATCTTTAGTGCAACACATCAGTGGATACCTGTCTCTCCAGTTTGTCCAAGATTGTCTCATGCTCTGTTCAAAAAATCACTGGCTTGAGAATACTCACTTTGCAAGTTAAGTTAAACAACTCTGTACTTTTCTTGCTGATTTTCTTCAATCTAACAAGTCTATAAATACGAGGTCATTAAATAAGACATCCTCTGTAATCACATCCTCTCATTTACTTACCATTACTACAAAGTGCCTTGGAAAGGATTCAAGTCCTGTGCTATTTATATAATCAATATTTTATAATAAGAAGAAACTGATTTAAAGAACACAATCAGTATACCTACTACTGTACTGCTAAACTGGGCATTCCCAAGCGTTATTATCCTTACTGAGGAACCTTCTGCAACAGTAAGATTCTGCTACGGAATCACAATCCCATCAAAAGAAGCAAAAAATATATATTCTGGTCAGCCTTGATTTCTGTTACCTGGCTGTCAAATCCAAATGTTTGCTACTTCTGTGCAAATGATTTCAGAAGGTATAACTGACAGTTTAAACTAGTAGTAAAAGTCTTCTCACACCAAAGACAAAAGCAACGTTGGGAACACATACTTAAGCGAGAGAAAATCTGAGCATTTATTTTAAAAAGCATTAGTTTTCTAGACACTACACACACTTAAAATGCTTACAGTACAGGATCCTTCACCACTGGGAAATATGGTACCATATAATCAATTCATTGTCCTGCTAATTAATTCCAGAAGAACAAAACTAACCATTAGCAATAAGTCATTGCTAATGTCATTGGTAAGTGGAGGAAGTTGAATCCCTGTCACGGAGGGCGGCAACATCAAATCCTGTAACGAAGGCAGGCTGTGATGAACTAAGACACCCTACTTTCAGTCATCTGTTGGGATTCTTTACCAATTGACTAGCAGGTTGACCAAAAAACATTTCTCCAGGAGTACATGACTTACTGGTTTTTGTGTTTGTTGTTTTTTTTGTTTGGGTTGTTTTTTTTTAAAAAAAAAAAAAAATTTTTTTACAGTAATTATTTTTTTCCCTGAAGATACTAGCAACCTTAAGGACTACAGATGATGACCATGGAGATAATGATTGATCCAAAGCCAAATTCTAGGAAATGTCTTCCTCTCTGAAGATGAATCCTCATATTATACTTTATCCAAACTACAATAACTGCGGGTTGCCTCAGAAAGGGTGAGGTTGCTTTCTCCCTTTATTTACTGCCACCTCAGACTGTGCACTCACTCATCCCCGTCAGATCTAGCAGTCACTCATTCTAGACCAGAGTTCATTTTCTTTTGGATTTGAGAAGTTATCTAACATACTGAAGCTTCATGATCATTACCAGCTCGTTACTGTGGGGGTGGTGAGACACTGGAACAGGTTGCCCAGAGAAGCTGTGGCTGCCCCATCCCTGGAGGGGTTCAAGGCCAGGCTGGATGGGGCTTGGAGCAACCTGGTCTGGTGGGAGGTGTCCCTGCCCAGGGCAAGGGGGTTGGAACTTGATGATCTCTAAAAGTCCCTTCCAACTCATTCTATGATTCTGCTAGATGATCTCTAAAGGTCCCTTCCAACTCATTCTATGATTCTGTGATGCAACAGCAGAAAAAAATGAATGAACTTTAGGGAACAAGAAAAAGGAGTTCTTCTTTTGGCAGTCACTGAGAGGTAAAGCAGATGTGGGTAGAGCAAAACAGTGTCAGACTGCACCCTCAAGCAGTTAAGGTCTTCAAACTGGCTACTTTCAGAAAGCTGAAACCGCTAGAGACGTCTCTTTTATGCATCTGAGGTCAGATACAGAGACCTCTTCTGTGAAGTTCATTCTTAGGCTGAATGCCCTACTTCCTCTCTTGGGAAAAAGATGTATAGCAAATCCCTCCATAACACAGCTTTCTCTTAAGAGACAACATCACCCAAAGGCTTGGCAACCTGAAACCTCCAGCTGACATGTTTAATAAAGAAAAGCAGCAACTGTGCCAGTACATCATTTCAGGGTTAAAAAAAAAAAAAAAGGAGCTTTTCTCAACCATCAGCAAATTAAAGAAATGCTGAAAACAGGACTGTGGTCTTAATTAACTACCTTAGAAAGAAAGAAAAAGAGCTGCAAGCTGTAACTCCAATCTACACAACACAGCAAGGAGACTGTTGCCCCAGCCTCCATTATCATGACCTTACATTAGAAAAAACAAAGAGCATATTTAATATGTACACAAGGCAAGTAGAACGTATATGCCCAAACATTAAAAACCACACCAAACACAAACCTCCCACCCCATCCCATCCCCAAACCCTGTCCCAAAATTAGGATTTTTTACATGGAATCAATTGGTATGACAACAGTTATTTGGGATACTACTGCTACTCCAACTGCATCAGCCACTTCGGGTACTTTTGTTGCTATTTGCATAAAATGCTGCTCAGTAGCCATGACTTCAAGCAGTAAAAGCCTTTTCAATTCCTTTGGGCTATGTATAAACAAGATTATATGCCAAGTGTATAAGTGTTGCTTGAGCCTTTCAGGACACAAAGACTTGCATGCTTATAGACTTGAAGCAAAAGATACCATGCTTAATGTAGATAATTTAAATGTGGCTTATTTTGATGTGCCTAAATAAATTTAAGCTAATTCACACCAAATATAGTTTAACCAAACTAATATCGTCCATGTAGCCCTTTGAGCTGTAAGTACAATCTGGAAGGGAAAAAAATCTGTGATGCTCCAGATAAAGAACTGGAGCATGACAGATAATGGTACTCAGATAAATAAAGGTTCATGTCATGTTTCAATAGGTTCCAAAGCATGCTTGGTAAACAACCAAGAGACATGTGCACAAACACCAATGAAGTAGCCAAAGTGCCAAAACCAGTGGTTCTGGGCAATTAACGTAAGCAATAAAGACATAAAAGCTACTGGTAGTAACGTTTCCCCCCAAGCAAAAAGAAAGGCAGGCAGACACAATTAAGATTATCCAGTGGCTGATATAAAACCAGAGGGGAGCGTTGGAGGCTTTTGCTGTACCCCAGTTGACAGACTAAAAGTCCCTCAGAGAGCGGGGAGTTGTTGCTGAGAACCAAGAGGGAGAATTTTGACAGAGGGTAACCAGATAGAGGATAGCTAGATCCTTGCAGAGGACAAAGTCAATAAATTCTATCTTCCAGTAATGGAAGCAACCTTCAAAGTTAGCTGCTAAGAAACCTCATTACTCATTGTCCTTTCGCTCATCTTATTTTCCTTCTGTGTCTCCACTTTTTTTAAAAAACAACATTAATTTACCTGGGTTCTATTGAAATCTTTAACAGCTGCACAAACAGCACGCTTGTTTTCTTCTTCTTTTTGTTGCTGCTCCATAGTCTTTTGGTCAATTGCAATCCTATTCTTGTCATAAAGATCATCTGAAGTAGATTAAAATGAAATTTAGTCAATATTCATGGACATGATGTCCCATGTGAGTAAGCCACTATAAGACAGACAGAGAGAAAGAGAGGAGCTACAGATACAGTAGACTGAATTACATAACTATTTCCAAATCCTACCACCAAAGCTTTTGATCTAGGAATCTCAGGTGACTCGTGAAATCAGTTTATTATGTAACCAACCTTAACAGTTAATGTTAAAATGAAAGAGTATGTTAAAGCCTGTTATGCAGAAGAAGTGTTTCATGACAAGTTACAGAAGAAAAATCAGTATTATTTTGTCTGCTCTAGAATAGTAAAGATTGGACAGTTTGGTCCAATGAAGTAAACGCACCATCTAGAACGCAAAACATTAAGATGTTTTTTCAGAATGCTGATACTTCATTTGAGGTGTAAAACAGAAATTAAATCATCACATTATTAAATATGGATTTCTTAAGTGAGAAATTGAATAGATTAGAGCTTGTAAAGTAAGAACTGCTGCAGTATTTCTGAAAGCTGACTACTGAACATACTAAAACACTGCTATGTCAGTAGCGTAGCAGTATAGGCTGTACAGACACAATAGGCTATACCATAGTTTTGTCAGATACGCCAGAATTTCAGAAAAAAGCAGATTAAAACCTTATTATCTTTTCTTTTGTTACCTGCAAATTTTTGATCAGCTAATGCATTTTTCCAGTCCCTCTGTTGTTGAAGAGACCACTCTCGTAACTGCTCCTTTTGAAATTTCAGTCTCTGATCATGGTTTAAGTCTTCACCCATAAACTTCTGCAAGCCAGACACAGTACATCGAGGATCATCGTCCGAAAGTCGAGCAGGTTTATCCTTCTTCAGGGCTTCAGGATCAGACAGGTCAAATTCACGTCTTGTTTCTGGCTTCTGAAAATTCTTCTGAAACTCAGTGATAGCCTTATTTATGTTTCTGATATGGTTTTTCTGTCGTTCTTCTAACATACACATTATCTTGTCATTTTGCTTCATTTCATTAGCTACAGAAAAATGAACACAATGAAAATGCAATTCTTAGAAGTGCACGTGTGTTGTGGAAGTGCATATGTAAGATGGAAAACAAAATTTTGAAGATGAATAAATATAAGTCTTCAAGCTTTTATACCCTAGGAAAGAGTATTTTACCTATGAGTACCAGCCCAGCAAACACTCTAATAGTAATATTAAAACTTTTATACCCTAGGAAAGAGTATTTTACCTATGAGTACCAGCCCAGCAAACACTCTAATAGTAATATTAATTCTAAAATATTTTCAGTTTTTTAGGAATCAATTATTTTATTAATGTTACAATGAGATACATGGATGTGAAACAAAGACAACAATAAAAATTTTTAGAAATATAAGTCTTCAAGCTTTTATACCCTAGGAAAGAGTATTTTACCTATGAGTACCAGCCCAGCAAACACTCTAATAATAATATTTCCTTCTAAAATATTTTCAGTTTTTTAGGAATCAATTATTTTATTAATGTTACAATGAGATACATGGATGTGAAACAAAGACAACAATAAAAATTTTTAGAACTATGAGGTTTCATTTGATTAAAACTTTGCAGTAACATATGAAATGTACTGTATACTAATCAGAACTATGAGGTTTCATTTGATTAAAACTTGCAGTAACATATGAAACGTACCTTATACTAATTCTTCCCATTTACTTTTAGTTTACAGTTACAACTGAAATACATTAAGTTGCTTATGTAGAAAAAAAAATTTGGACTCCCAATGAAAGGAATACAGATAGCTGCTGCATAGTTCCAATAATTTTTCTAACCATACCACTGAAAGAATTGACTATGACTAACAGTTTGTTCAGAGCTTAATAGTTATTGCCCATTTAATCAAAATGCTGCAATTGATTTAGTTTTAAGGAGAAATAAACAATCAACAACAACAATAAAAAAACCCACCGAACACCCAGAACTAGCCATTCTAGCCATTTAAATATAATTCACAAGAAAAGATCAATTCCTCTGCTGCCAGACTACACGTTGCTTCTGGCAGTTTCCTAGGAGTCCCAGTCTGACAGGTATCCTGCCAGGAAAACCACAAGCAGCCGTAGAAGCCCAGCATGGAAGTTGGCAGCTCCATTCCAGCTCTTCTTGAAACCCCCAGAGAGCTCAGTCTGTGGGATCTTTTCACATGATACCCCAGGAAAGCATTCCAAACACAGAGGGCCACAAAGGGTTTTGAGGTCAGGGGACACAGCTGAAATATTTGTGTGGCTCCGTGTTCTGACTCTGCAACGGCTCTACTTACTGCCCTGTTGTAGATGACTCATACTTCAAGCAATAATAATCCATAAAGGATTCTAAAGAATCTATATACTCTGTTGAAGAATCACTGGACAGAATACGGGCTTACTCTACAAGAAAGCAATCAAAGAAATTTGCAACAACTATTCTGAAAAGAACAGCATTAAGTAATTAAGTTTTTGTAAATTCTCCCTTATCTTCATGCCTCTAAACAATGCTATTTGTCAACATTTATTAAAAGAAAACACTGAAAATTCTGGCCTATCAGGAAATGTATACCAGTTTAATCATGTCAATATGAATCTTCAGATACTGAGGAAAACAGATACTGTACCAATGCAAATGTACAAACATAAATAGGACTACACATTATAGTATTGTTTGTACAAATCCAGAGAAAAGCCTGTAATGGTGCTTTTATATATATATATCTCTCTCAATTGATAGTTTTATATAGCTAGAGATATATTGGAAGATTCAAGGAGATAGGCTCCATTTGGAAATAAATATGGCAGTTTGAAATACATGAAGGGAAAAAGAAAGCAGGAAACAGATGACAAATTACATTTAACTCTTCACAGTAATATCAGAGTATCTATGAATATACCAAGTTCTTCATGTCGTGCTTTTTCAGCTGCTTCTTGAATTTTCCTCTCCTTGACCTGGGCATCCAGTGCATCTTTATCAATCTATTTAAATGAAAAAAAAAAAAAAAAAGGCAGCTCTTTAAGAGATACCATGTTTGACTGATTAAAAACAGGCATTGTCAGGCTACATTGATTCACAGTTGTACAAGACAGATATAAAACCACTACCAACAGAATATATATACATCTCTATTTCATGTAAGTAATATAAAAAGAAAATCCAGAAACAGCAAAATTGTTTCCTTCGTTTTAATAATTACAGGTATACTCTTCCACTGAATCAGAACAAGCCACAGCATTTACATGATATATAGAGCTATAAATATAAACATTTTACACAGAACATGTTTTCCCCATTATAGCTGGCATTTTTACTTAGTTTTTCTTGGGTTTCTGCTTTCATTTATATAGCAGGTAAGTATTTTGACAGTCAAGATCGTAGGAAGTTGTGATAGTTCAGATTTGAAAAAAAAAATAAAATAGACTATTCACTGAAAGTACCTTGAAGAAGTAACAGGGAACAGAAAGAAGTTTTCCAGTCCAATCTGACAGAGGATAAGAGTCACATGGTTGCCAAAACACAATATTGAGTGTCTACAATGAGCTGACTGAAATGATACATGATAGTCACAGCCCCGCAGAGTGGTAGCTGAGCAAGGCATGAGAGCAGCCACCTACATTTCAGACAAGAATCAAGTCCTATGTTTGTTGAGAGAAGGTGGCAAAATAATTTAAGATCTTCTTTTTTCTTTTACTGGCCAAGTCACTTAATGTATTTAAAAGATTTATCAAAAACCAATGACAATTCTTCAAGAATCTGCTAAACTATATTGATAGTCTTTGCCTAAAAAATATTTAGATCAAGATAGAAAGATCTAAACAGATTATGGCTGAAAACACACATTGTTACTGCTGTAAAGGACTACTGACTATACCAATCAGGCAAAGAGGTACATCTGTAAGCAAGAGAGAAACCACAAAAAAATTCTACAGGGTATCATTGTCCCAAAACAGTGGTGTCACAGGCATACATATCAACTCATTTAGAGGTCTCATTTGGGAAACCAACCTTTCAATGTAACTATAGGAAACCCTGTTAAGAGAAATTCAATATGACTCCATTAGTAAATTCTGGCAGCAGTACAGGTGAGTCACCCTGAGGCTTGTGTCTGTACATTCAGTTATGCTATCAGCTCTTAACTCATTTAGAGGTCTCATTTGGGAAACCAACCTTTCAATGTAACTATAGGAAACCCTGTTAAGAGAAATTCAATATGACTCCATTAGTAAATTCTGGCAGCAGTACAGGTGAGTCACCGTGAGGCTTGTGTCTGTAAATTCAAGTTATGCTATCAGCTCTCCCCCTTTTGAACAGCTTTCACTTGGTAAGAATAGAACCCTAAAATAACTATTCCTAGTCCCATAAAGCTACAGGTTTAACTTCTGAGCATTAAAATAACAAATCCCCTACTATAAACAGTTTGAAGCAGCTGATTTCTAATCTCCTTGTATTTATGTGTAATAGTTCACATATACATAGGAAGTAATTTTTCATTTGGACTACTCATCTGAACTCTTGGGAAACTACTGATTTACTGAGGATAAACTCTTAAATCTGTAAGTGAAGAGAGCAGTATCTTACTTTTCCGTTACTCAGATGAGGAAACAGATACATAAGTCTAATAATAGAACTAGTAATAATCAAGGCGAAAAATTAAAATTTCAGTTGCCATTCTGCTTTCCAGTCAGTATATTATCTCCATGTTTTTAAACTAGTCAATCCCTGCTTAAGGATTTGTGGCCTACGTCAAATATCACCTTGATTTTTTAAAATTTTGTTACAGACAGCTGCTCAGCTAAACTGGTGAAAGAGAGAAAGCAAAGAATCTAAAAACACATCGGAAATGCTGACATAGTGTATCTCTGTGTAAATTTGTTGACTCTTCATGCTTTGGACTTGGCCTAATTTCAAAGCACAAGAGTAGCCACTTCTGGCAGCAGTCATTGTTCAGCCAAGGAATAAGGTACATTGAATGATGTTAATCAAAATATTTACAGAATTCCTCCAATAAGCTCTCCTTCATTTAAGATGTTTGTCTCATGTAAATGGGCCTATCAAAACCCGTCTGATAGTTCTGCTGAAGTATTTGAGAAAGACCTTCAGATGGTGTAGTTCAGTATTGCTCAATCAAGTACATAGAGATATATCAACCTTCAGATGGTGTAGTTCAGTATTGCTCAGTACATAGAGATATATCGATTTTCATTAGTTCAGAATTTCTATTTTACGTTGTCAGGAAAAATCAGCCACATCAGTTAATTCCACATATATAAACATGGCCTGACGGATCTGTCTGTTCAGCCAAGGAATAAGGTACATTGAATGATGTTAATCAAAATATTTACAAAATTCCTCCAATAAGCTCTCCTTCATTTAAGATGTCTGTCTCATGTAAATGGGCCTATCAAAACCCGTCTGATAGTTCTGCTGAAGTATTTGAGAAAGACCTTCAGATGGTGTAGTTCAGTATTGCTCAATCAAGTACATAGAGATATATCAATTTTCATTAGTTCAGAATTTCTATTTTACATTGTCAAGAAAAATCAGACCCATCAATTAATTCCACATATGTAAACAGAGCCTGACAGATCTGTCATATTTTGCCTGATGCAAACTAGGAACCAACTAGAGGATCCCTTTCAGCAATAAATGTCTCACAGCACTGATTCTAGCTTCTAGTGAGAATCAATCAGACGAGGGAACAACAGAAAGGTAAAAAACACTGATTTGTTTACACCCTACTGCGTGAGCTGACTCTGCAAGGCTTCTGGCTTACCCCAAAAGGGGTAAAAGCAAAACACATCATCACAGAATCATTTTGGTCGGAAAAGACCTTTAAGATAAATCCAACCGTTAACCTAACACTGCCTAGTCCACCACTAAAGGCATCAACACATCTTTTAAACACCTCCAGGGATGCTAACTCAACCGCTTCCCTGGGCAGCCTGTTCCAATGCTTGATAGCCCCTTAAGCAAAGAAATTTTTCCTTATATCAAACCTAAGCCTCCCCTGGCACAACTTGAGGCCATTTCCTCTTGTCCTATCGCCTGTGACTTGGGAGAACAGACTGACCCCCACCTGGCTACACCCTCCTTTCAGGTAGCTGTAGAGGGCCATAAGGTCTCCCCTCAGCCTCCTTTTCTCCAAACAACCCCAGTTCCTTCAGGTGCTCCTTATGAGACTTGTTCTCTAGACCCCTCACCAGCTTCATTGTCCTTCTTTGGACCCGCTCCAGCGCCTCAAAGTCCCTCCTACAGTGAGGGGCCCCAAACTGGACACAGTACTCCAGGTGTGGCCTCACCAGTGCCTAGTACAGGGAGGACAGTACTCAAGGTGTGGCCTCACCAGTGCCTAGTCCAGGGAGGCGACCACTTCCCTAGTCCTGCTGGCCGCACTACATATATGCTGTGTGAAGTTAGCTCCTACGCCGATATTGAAACACGGGGCTTGATCTTTTTGTCCTATTAAGGAAAAATGAAATCTTGCCTTTGAACCCTACAGCAGCAAAACACAAGTCCCCCTCACACTCTCTCTCTCTCACACACACACACACTCTCTCCAGCGATAGGTGCCAAAAATACCTGTTGACTATACCTGGAGAATCTCAACTCGTTTCTGCCAGCACCACTTTATGAAAGCGCCTCAGCCCTCTAAAAGGGCGTTTTCTCCCCGTTTCCCGCCCTCACCCGGCGCTGAAGGGGCACTGAGGGGGCGCGCGCTCCCCGCAGCCGTTGGGGCGCTGCCTCCCGCCCTCCCCCCGTCCTGCCACAGGTGCCCCCCTTTCTTTAAACCGGTCTCCTCAGGAGCCCGCATAGGAGCGGGGGACGGGAAACGACAGCGCCATCCCTTCCCGCTCCGGGGGCTTGGGCCGCGCCCTCACCCCGATGGTCCGGACTCGCGCGTTGAAGATGCGGCTCTGCCGTTGCAGCTCCCGCTGCCGCCTCCGCTCCAGGGCGGCCGCCTCCTGCTGCATCTCCCGCTGCAGCCTCAGCCTGCTCATGGTGCCGAAAAGCGTGACCGACCGGCCGCCCGGCAGAGAAGAGCGAGCGGGTCCGGCCCGGCCGCCCGCCCGCAAACACAGCGAGTCGCTATGGCAGCGGGAG